CTGGGATCCATCTAAATGAGACCAGAGGAGAGAGTGTACTTGCCTTCTCTGTTGTTGTTGTTAGTTCTTGTCAAGTTGGCACAGACTCATGGCGACCTTACGTATAACAGAACGAAACGTTGCCCTGTCCTGTGCCATCTTCATGATCCTTGGTATGTCTGCGATCAGTGTGGAGGCTACTGTGTCAATCCATCTCATTAAGGGTTTTTGTTTCCACTGCCCCTCTACTTTACTAAACATGATGTCCTAGTTATTCAGGAATATCGTAGCTTTTTGGAGCACAAATGATAACAGCCAGAATGATTCTTTTGACTCAAAGTATGACTGAAAAATGTTACAAACAAACCATTTGCTAGAATACGTCTATGGAAAAAAATTTCTTTATTCTTAGAGGACTTATTTCTGCCTGCAAAGAATGACATTTAACCTGCTACAAAGTTTCATGAGTTAATAATTAGTAAGTTTTCAACTACAGAAACCCACAAGAAACAGGTAATTCGAAGGGTGAAAGCAGGGCTTCAAACCCGGCTTTTCCAGTTCAAATCTCTGCTGAGAAATTCCATTTCTAGCAAGTTCCTAGGCGATGCTAATGCTGAATTAGAATATGCTGAATCATAATCTACATTTCAACAAGATCTCCAGGTTACTCTTATGTATAATAGTTTTTTTATTGTGCTTTAGGTGAAGGTTTACAGAGCATATTAGTTTCTCGTGAAACAATTATTACACATATTGTTTTGTGACATTGGTTGCCAACCCTGTGATGTGTCAACACTCTCCCTTTCTTGACCTTGGGTTCCCCATTTCCATTCATCTAGCTTTCCTGTCCCCTCCTGCCTTCTTGTCCTTGCACCTGAGCTGGTGTGCCCCTTTAGTCTCATATACATGGCTGAACTATGTGTATTATTGTTTGTTTTATAGGCCTGTCTAATCATTGGCTAAAGGATGAACCTCAGAAGTAAGTTCAGTACTGAGTTAAACGGTGTCTGGGGGCCATACTCTTGAGGTTTCTCTAGTCTGTCAGACCAGTAAGTCTGGTCTTTTTTTGTGAGTTTGAATTTTGTTCTACATTTTTCTCCAGCTCCGTCCGGGACCCTCTACTGTGTCAGAGCACTTGGTGGTGGTAGCCAGGGACCATCTAACTATGCTGGACTCAGTCTGGTGGAGGCCATGGTAGTTGTGGTCCATTAGTCCTTTGGACTAATCTTTCCCTTGTGTCTTTGGTTTTCTTCATTCTTACTTGCTCCAGATGGGGTGGGATCAGTAGACGTATCTTAGATGGCCATAACCATCAAAGATTGTTTCTTTCTTTTTCATGGATTTTTAAAATAGTGGTCTCATACAGTATTTGTCCTTTTGTGATTGACTTATTTCACTCAGCATAATGTCCTCCAGATTCATCCATGTTTTCAGTGTATAATAAATCTCGAGAACCACTGCTCTACTAGTGGTTCTCAGAATTGGTCCCTAACCAGCATCGTTAGCATCGCCTGGGAACTTGTTAGAAATGCAACTTCTTAGCAGGGGTTCGAACTGGAACAAACAAGTTCAAACCCCTGGTGATGAACAACCAGGGGCATTTTATCCTGTCAGTCAAGTAATCCCTAGAGTGGCCCTTCCTATCACTACCCAGAGCTAAGTTTAGTATGAAGGCTATGCTAAGAACCATGAAGCCTTGGATTTTTCAGACTCAGCCAAAATACACTGACTTCAGGCTGCTCCATTTTTAACTAGCCATGCTGGGCTCCCATATTGCTGTCCATATGGTGCTATAGCATGGCATATTCTTTCTACCAATGTCTCTACTGTCAACACCCCAACAGTAGGGGCAAAAATAAAAACAATAGGGCTGTTCAACTGGGCAAAGCCCAAACTCAATCAATTCTTTAGTGTTTTTCTTTATAGTGAGAAATACATTAGATTGACAGGAAGACAGAGAAAGTCACAATTTTAGCCTCAACAAGTTCATTACTAACCCCATTTAATAGAAATAACAAACATCTCGACAACCGTGTATCTTGCAGATATATTCCCAGCTTGAAATAAATAACAGTAGAAGCATAAATAATTTCATTTTACAGAAAAGATTCACAATAGGCTTCTTTAAATCATGTTATATATTATAGAATACAGCAAAAAAAAAAAAAAAAAGATGTACACACAACTCACTGAAAGTGAGTCATTACTTATAATAATAATATCGACTAGCACAGTCATATTGATTCAGGCCCTTGATGGATGCTACTGAGATGAAGGCCACAGGTTGGATCCCAGAATATGCCATTTAGATTTGAGAAGCAATATACTGAACTGCTAACTCTGGATCCACCTCTTGTTGTTGTTAGCTACCATCAATTCAGCCACCAGCTCATGGTGACCTTATGCACAATGGAATGAAACATTGCCCCGTCCTGTGCCGTCTCCATGATCGACTGCAGACAGGACTATTGTGATCCATAGGGTTTTCACTGGCTGGTTTTCAGAAGATCACCAGGCCTTTCTTCCTAGTCCATTTTAGCCTGGAAACTCTGCTGAGATCTGCTCAGCGTCATAGCAACACACAAGCCACCAATGACAGACAAGTGGTGGCTGCACATGACGTGCATTGGCCAGAAATCAAACCCAGGTATCACCCATGGAAGGTGAGATTTCTACCACTGAACCAGCACTATACCCCCTGGATCCACCTACACCTTTGGTTTTTCAGAGACTTGAGATTGTGGATGGTTCAAGACAGAGCTGTCGCAGCTGTAGAAGAAACAAAGTAAACACCCTTCCAAAAGTCAGAAGTACCCTCTTTTATGGGCCATATTGGATTATTATTCTGGACATAAATCATAAACTTTTATTTTCTATACAGTCCATTAAAAAGCTTCTACTTGGTCAACAGCCAGGAGGAAACTGACCAACTCTTTACATATCAGTATGAGGACATTTGCTGTGACTGATAGTTGAAAATAGCTGACCCCTTAGTGTAAACTGTAAATCAAATCATGGGATTACGCAAGGGGAAAAAAAAGTGCAGGAAAAGGAAAAATGAACTTCGACTTTTCAAGTATTATGAAAGTTTTTAAATAAAAAAGGCAGAGAATCTAAGAACAAAGCTATCTCCATTCTGTAATAATTTTTTTCTCCCAACCTAATAAACAGCCTGGAATCAGCACAGAGGAACATGTAGCTTTCTATACAGGTCATTTGCTGGCATGTTTTGTGCTTCAAAACATTTACGACGACATATCTCTTTCAAATGCATTTGTTATCTAAATGTGAGGCCGGCTGAAATTTATCAGATGTCATGTGTGTGTGGAGCCCCCACTACGTGTCATCTGTGTGCAATCACAGTCCCTGGGAGTCTGCTTGTCTTTGGAGAGACTGCAAGGTTAGATATAAGTTCATATTTTCTGTAAGTAAACATTAGTTCCAGAAGCAACTCCAAACCTATACACACACCCACTTTTTCACAACGTGCTTCAGCACTCAAGATCAATGACATATCTGTGTTAATTACAATAATTTTAAAATAGGTCTTCAAATCTGTTCTTTTGGGCCCATTGACTTATGCATGTGAACAGCTGATTTAGTTCTCAAGCAAAAACACTGCCACTGAAATATATACCTTTCTTAAACAAAAGATACTTTTTGTTCCCAAGAAGCTTTGGTATGTTGCCATTTCCAGCAACAAATAACACAAAAGACAAATTCTGCCATTCTGAAGAGTGGTTTTAGGCTAACAGAAATAGCAAACAAAACAACAGAGCAAAAGCTTAAGAAACAAAATCAAGGTGAATTAGGGGCGGAGGGAAAGGAGGTGAAGTGAAAAATGGAGTCTAAACTCTACTTTATGATCTAGGAAATTCAGCCTTTACCGATGAATTGGGAGAAGGGAGTAGAGACGAGGTTTTTAGCTGAAAGACAGAAGTGTGTTTGGCTGTCTCCGTTTTGGGTCAATACCACCCACCCGAGAATGCATGGAGGGGAAAACGTTGTGTCTAAGCCTGATTCAATGAGAGTAACACAAGTTTGTGCCTGAGACAATGGAGATACCCGGCCAAATTGAGGAACTATATGACAATTCTTTAAATCAAAAAAGAAAAAGTGTTATGGTATCAAAAAAAAGTATGATTTATTCATAGGAAACAGTTACGAATTCAGTATCACCATTTTGCCGGCTGAGTACCCATCCTGGATACCAAAAACCAAACTCAGCTCGTTGCGGTTGAGTCGATTCCGACTCCTAAACAAACCGCTAATGGCCTGGAGTGCTGGAAACCTACAAACCACTGCACCTATTTCCCAGGTATGTGGACCTGATACTCCATGTCACTGACGGAGACCAAATCACGATCAGAAGCCACGGAGGTCCTGGAGAATTCTCTTGAAGAAGAGTCCCTAACATCCGCGGTCGGGTGAAAATGTCTGGAAGTGTGCGCTGTTCCCCCTCCCTCTGGGCCGCGCGTCCCGAACGTTCCTGGCTGTCAGGTGGGTGGCGGCAAGCCTCGGCTGAGAAACCCTGCCAGGCAGCGCGGTGTGCGGCGCCAGCCAACAGGCGCGAACCCCGCGGAGCGCTGCGCGTCCCGCGACCAGCCGCCGCGCACCTTTGTTCGCCTCCCCTGGCCGCCCGCGAGGAGGAGACAGCCAGGCCAACTTGGCAGTGTAAGGGGCGATCCCCATCGACCTGCAGCCCTTCGCTGGAGCCCCAGAGGAAATCCGTGGGCTAGCCAGACCCTCTGTGGCCCCCAAAAAGCAAGCTGGACTGGGAGGTCAGCAACCCCTTCCTGAACACAAAGGTTGGGAGGTGTGAGCGCAAGTGAAGGTGCTACTAGCTGGCTGGGGGCGGGGGTGCGTGCGCCACAGAGCACGCGAGTGTGCGTGCGTTTTTGTGCGCGCGCGTGGTTGGGGTGTGTGTGTCTGTGTTGTGTGTGTCGTGTGTGTGTGCGTGTGTGTGTGTGTGTGTTTGTGTGTGTAGGGGGGAGGGGAGGAGGCTCTCCAACCCTTCTTACCTCTCGAAGATGAGCCGCACCATGAAGATGCAGAAGGCCAGGGGGAAGGCGAGGTAAAGGTCCTCCGCTTGCGGGAAGGTGGCTTCCTCCGTGTTCTTTAGGTCTGCCCAGGTGACATTGTGCGGGAGCCAAAACCTCTCGTTCCAGAACCAGGCTAAGATCCCTGCCATCTTGCTTTGTCCACTCCTGTCCTGCGGCTCTGGCGGCCCGCTGAGCTCTCCGCCACCCGGGGTGCCCGGGGATGCGCGGCCGGCTAGCCCCCAGGCTCTGCCGCTGCCGCCAGCCGCCGCTGCCACCGCCTGCTCCGCGGCCGCTGCTCTCGAAGGCTCGTTGCAAGCCCCGGTTCTCTCCACCCTCTGGCCGCGCTGAGGAAAAGGGCCGCCTTGCCTGTCACATGGCAGCCCGGGCCTTTCGCCCTGATTGGCTCCACTTCGCGTCAAGCAGCGAGGCACTCGCGGCCAGCTCGCCCACGCCGGGAGGGTAGGGCGCCGCCGCTGCGGTCAGGGCGCAGGGGCTCGGCTCCGGGCTGTGCTGCTGGCCCCTGCGCGCACCGCGATCCAACTCTGCGCTCAGAGCTGCGACCTGGGCCCAGCCCCCCAAATACGTCCTGGTCCTGTCGCTTGCTCGCACATGCTCAGAAAGCCGGCTCCTGCCCCACTAGAGTTTCAGGGCTTTCATCCAGCTTCCCATGCGCCCAGAGGCGTGGGGAGGCAGGTAGGCGCTGGTTCTGAGCTTCGGAACCGCCTCTGCACTAAGAGGGCAGCAAAAGGAGAAGCAGGGGGCGCAAACAGCAAAGGAGGAAGAAGTGGAAGAGAAAGGGTCATCCACACCGGCGTATGGAGAGGCAGAGTTGAAAATAAGGAACTGGGCGGGATGGTTTGGCAAGAGCTGTGGCCTCTGCCTCACGCCTGTCTTTTCCCCCATCTCTGACCATCTGGCCTTGTTATACTACTTCTCGTCACCACAACCAGCTCCCACAGGAAAGAAGGCCTTGTTTTAGGAGATGCTACGTGACATAAGACTTAATTGTCATTTGATAATGATCATGATGAGGTTGATGATAGCAACTGCAGCCTTCTGTAAAACCGCCCCTCTAAACTAGCCTCTCAGAAAATGCCTCCAGTCCACATTTTGGCTTCGCAGATCCTGAGAGAATCTCCACTCTGCTACTTAACAGGTTCATTGTATCTGCCTTTTGAATGTGAAACTTTTAAAGCATTAGGCCTCCGAGGGTTAACCCAGCACCTTCACTCCCACAGTTGATGCAGGAACCATGTGTGATCAGTTCAGTGGCCCATGCAGCCCCTGGCCGCAGAGGATACTGTGTTTTGTTCCTTCTCACAATCATTTATTTTCTTCCTGGTTCTGCCAGTGAGATCTACTGGACCTTTCTAATAGGCATATAAATAGGCTTTCATACACACATACACACACATTTTCTTTACTTTCTCTCCCCCTCCAGCAGCCTCCCTCTTTCCACTCCTTCCCTTTTGCATTAAAGCAAAACTCTAAAAAATTGTTTCTATTTGGTGCTTACAATTTCTCCACCTCATTTTCTTTTGAACTTCCATTTGGGCATTTGCCATCTCCACTGCACTGAAACTGACCAAGGTCACCAATGATCTCCATGCTGCTAAATCAGGGGTGGATTATCCAACAGACAAGGTAAGTACAGTCCTTACCTTGCTTACCAGCTCATCTGTAGTGAACAATTTCACATTTTTTTTATCACATCAAAGATTCTACTTCTAGGTATAGCTGGCATCTGTCTCTCTCCCAACCCCACAGCACCTTCCTATAGAATCAAAGCCTTTTTTCAAATTTACAGTCCCTGACGGACAGATGACCCGGTAAGCACAAGCTTACTTGTGCTTACTTACTAATCTGTAGTGAACTATTTCACATGTTTTTCATATGGTGACAAGCCCATGCTTGTCTTGCTTATTAGGTAATGCACACCTGTGCTAAATCCAAAGGTCATTCTCAACACCTCTACCAGTAGCCTTTAGCCCAGTTGCTCAGTCTCTGCCCCTTGAAACATTTTCTTGTCTTGGCTTCCAGACCACACACTTCTGGTTTTCCTCCTATCTTGTGGCCACTCGTCCCATTCTCCATTCTGGTTACTCCTCACCTTCCTAACCTCTAAAAGTTGGAGTGGCTTAGGAGTCCTTCTTCTGGCATCTTCACTTTTGTATCTGCACTCTTCATTCACTTAGTGATCTCATCCAGTCTGATAACTTTCACTGCCACCTGTGAAGTATAGGTACTCAATAAATTATTTAATTAATGAATTGACACGACCCCAACCTCAAAAAAATCTTCTCTAGGGGAGGAAAAATACTGGATAAGTAATTGTTTTAAATGTTTATATAGCCGCGGTAGACTCTGATGCCGAGAATACTGTGGGCATAAAGAAGGGATTGATCAATTCTGGATGGGGGGGTGGGGGAGAAGGGTTAGGAAGTCTTCACAGGGGAGGTGTTGTTGAAGTGAGTCTTCAGTAATGAGTAAATTTCATCACCCACCACTCCAGGCTGTGTGGCTAGCTGCTCAGTATTACTGATGACCCTCCAGGAAGATGCCTTAGTACCAGTTGCAATCTCGTAGGCCACAGGGGGGCAGACTTGTTAAGGTCTCTTACCACCTTTGTGGCAGAAGTCATGTCATGGTGGAGCCTGGCGTCTTGGGTCAGCCATACTCCCTCCATGGCTGTCTGTTAAATCCTCATGTCACTCTTGTATATGACCTGATAGTACTTTGCCTCCTACCCCGGGACTTCTCTGCTCTCCAGTGGGTCCCCAGGCATAAACAACAGGAAATGTTGGTGAATCGATGCCCTCAAGGCTGAACTTAGACCAGAGGCAATGGAAGCCAGTGGATAAATTCTTATTTTTTTCCCTTTCAGACACATGCAGTAGCCTCATACAACCTCTCTCAAAATAACCTGTGATGCTAAACAATCATCTTGTTTCAAAGTTGTGGCTCAATAACTCATTCCCTTATATTTCCTCTGTTCTATGTCTCACTTCCCTTTTCCTTTCCTGAAATTGCACCTGCCTGGAATTTCTCTTTTTTCTAGAGAAGCCAAACTAAGATAGTGTTGCTCTTCTATTCATCAACTTTGAGAAGGTGGTGGGATTTCAGCAACATTTTGAAAGACGGGTTTTGTTGGACAATGCAAAGAGAATTTACTACTTATCTGTGAATCTTGTTTTAATGTCTTCTTGTGTAAATTGTGTGTCAGTAACATCTGTCTGGCCTATATTACCTAAATCTCATGAGGTTCACATGCAATAACTATGGGAAACAGCTTGGTAAACTATTCACCTCTATACACATGTACAGTGTAACGAACACTCTTATCTGTCTATCATCTCCTCAAGCAACGGTCCCTTCCTACTACCGTCTGTGCAAATGATTACCCCAGAAATATGATAGAGTAAAACATCATTCTACCCCAGACACATTTTATTGGTCTAGTGATGGACCCTTGGCATAAGATAGTCCAATAAAAGTTCCTCTTCAGGTATTGGGGCTTGGGTCAAGGCAGTCTCCTCTGGACACCTGGACTCTGGGATTTCAAATTCAAGCTGTTGGAAGCTGTGCTTCATCATATGCACAGAAAAGCAGAAGAAGCTAGTCTGCAACAAGAGAGAATAATAAAGCAGACCTGTAGAGTTAAGTAGAGGTAAGAGACACATGAGAGCTCCTAGATCCACATGGCACCTGAGGCCAGTTGGTTTCTCATCTTTAGGTTCCATGAAAGAGTATCAGATCCTCATAATAAATTCCCCTTTTTGGTTTGGTTGCTGTTAAGAGTTCCACTATACAAGGCATTACTCTAAGAGCACATGTTTTTAACACTATGCTGCCCTCAATTCAGGCCCTTAGGAAGGTCAGTCACAGGAAGGACACAGCACAGCACCCCTCCCAAAGTGGTCCATGTCCAGTGATGCTCAAAGCCTAAGGTTACATGCAGCCTGAGAAAAATATTTCTTATCCTTCTCCTACTTCTTTATTCTCTGAACCAGTGCAGAAAAGACTTCTAATTGTTGCCCCAGGAAACCAAGATACAATCTATGCATCAGACAATTATGTATCTCAGTGAGAAAGCCAATAGTTGGTCTCTAAGTATAAGAGATAAGAAGAGAAAAAAGGGTGAAAACAAAATTGGGGAGCAGGGGGTCATGATACTGTCTACACTGAATATTAGGAAAACATACTTTGGATCCTGAACGTGAAACGTCATATAAGAATATACTCTCTTTCCTAGGAAACAGGAAAATATCAACAAACCTGAGTTTTATTTCCCATCCCCAGGGACTCACCCAGATCTTAATGATCCTACATGCATTTGAGTTCACGTTGTAAGAAGTCTTCACCTCTCAGATGCTGGAAAGTGGCTGGAAGTTTAGTTGAGTTTCCACTTTAAGTTGAATACACAAAATTATAGTACTTGTTCTACAAAAAGAACACAAAATGTACTTGGGGAGCAGGATATGCTCACATGAAAAGCCAGATAGCAATACACATCAACACCACTTGAGATGTCATTAGACCTTATGTGATAAGTGCCTGAGTATTGCAGATAACAAGGGCTTCCTGCTCAAAAGCAGAAGGAATTGTTTTGTATTGGGAGGTCAAGGAAAGCGTCAAGGAAGAGGCAGAAATGGCATCAGACTTTGAAGAATGAGTAGGATTTGAAAAGACATGAAAAAAGGTAAAAAGTGAGAGAGATTTGCTGAGGGAAATAAACAAAATGTTGCTGAGGAGACATATGACAAAGGGCCTTTGGTACAAAGCAAAGGATCCTACTTATTTTAGGAGCATGATATGTTATCTATGATCATAGCATACAAGCAATTCTTTACTATGATGCCTGGGACACAATATACACTCAACTATTGTTTTTTAGATATACAAATAAAATTGTTTATTGTTTAAAACACAGGACAGTGCTAAAATTAATCTTCAATTTAAACATATTTCATTGGGTTTGAAGGAACCTGGTTTTCATTGGGAATAATATGGAAATATTGCTAAATTTTATTTCTGCCATTACTCCCCATGAACATAGAACCTTCTTGCTGTGGTTGGCAAAACTGTCTTAAATCTATACTTGTTCTTCACTAGCCAAGTACTAGTCTCTCATGTTTTTATTTATATGCAGTAGATTTGGTTGAGGCAGGAAGTAGGAAGGATTCAGTACCACAATATACAAATCACCCATAAAAATGCAGCAACATAAGCATCTCCTGCCATCTTAAGAAAAGGAAATGAGTGTTAGATTCACCCTGTTGAAGTTAAGCTGAGTTAAGGTGTCTAACCTGGACAGGAATTGAATGCATATTATTCACTGGAATTAACAGGAATAAACAGGACTCTTTCCTCACATGCTCACAGTCTTTCTTACAATCATGTCAGGTAATGGGGATCTTTCTCCTCCCTCTTCTACCTTGACAGTTCACATCACTGGAAAACCTTTTCTGATGCTGACAACTATCAATTACTCTGG